CAAATAAAAATTCTCACTTCCAGAGGGAACCAATCAATGGTGATGAGACCATCCATTAAGAACTTAGTTTTGGAGAAGGAAACAAAGTCTTTGGACTAGGTTTCTCATTATGCAGGAAGAATAAAGACCTGTGATTTGTCAGGCTCTCTTTGGATGCAGTGATGTCCAAATTATGTTTCACAGCAATTGATGGGAAGGATATATGACAATAAAAATGAGTTGTGTCCTCACTACTCACCAGACTGCATGTGTCTACACTGTGTCAGATGACTATATGAAGCCCCCTGCAAGGAATTCAGGCGCATGCCATTTTAGAATTGTAAGAAAGTAGAACTAGTTGAATCTAGTGTTTTTTCCAGTGAGGCTAATTGAAAACAACAATAATTAACTATCTTCAAATATTGAGATAACTGCTATTTTAACTTTTGTGGTAATTCCAAATATAATATAAAGTTATAAGCAAGGTGATTTAAAAAAAAAATAGACCCATGCAGATGAATAGCATACCTTCTAGAAATGATTACATTCTACTGATTTGTTCCCCTTTTGCAGTTTGCTGCATTTACTGGCTCAATCTCTTATCTTCTTTAGAATGCAAACATCAAAAGAGTATGTGGTTTGCTTATCTCTGTTTATACAGAATCTATCAGTTTCTAGTATACATATGATAATATTCTCTCCAGCACCAGTTGTTGAAAACATTTCAATTATAATGTTCATTTCTTTGTCAACACTAGTCTCCCCAAACTCAGAGAACATCAGAAAGAGTGTAGAGTGCTGCAAAATAGTCCAGAAAGTGATCATAATACCTGAAATTTGTTGCATATTGTGTTTTCTCTACAAATATATTAACAATTTCCATAGAAAATAAGTTTCTAGTCACATCCTACATACACAATCATTTATATACCCAAAGATTCAGTATCCAGAAAAAAAGATCTTATTTCAAATGAAAAACTATTTATGTCCTCATATCCTGAGATATTTCCAAATTATTTTTGTCACTATTTTATTAAATAGACCAAAGTCTCCTCCAAATATTGGAGGTAGAATCCTATGATACACTTGCACTCCAATTACTTATGATATTGAATTATGGATCAATGATAAACAATGTAAGAGATTTGTTGTTTTAAAATGAGAACTTATCTGCTAATATGTTCTTCCCACTTGGCAAGATKGCCCCTTTTTACTTCTCTAAGTTTGTGCTTCTACTTATAAAATCTTTCTTTTGTCAAGACATTGATTCTAAAAATTGTTCTTTGTTCATCTGTACAAATACCATGAGGTTTAGAAACATTCATGGCAATGGTGTGGTTATATCAACCCCAGGGCAGATGGCTAACTGTGTTTGTAGGTTGAGTTTGATTTTGGTAAGACAGCTTAATTTTGAAGTTTGCATGGTTTTCACACTGAAGAAGCTGATTTTCATTTGGAGATCAGTATTTAACATCAGTTCTTGTATCCTGACAGCGTTACTATGAGAGGTGAATTTCCTAAGTGATTCCATAAGTTTGGGGATATTTTTTTAAAATATTTCTTTTTCAGTTGTAGATGGGCACAATACCTTTATTTGATTTATTTATTTTAATGTGGTGCTGAGGATCGAACCCAGTGATTCATGTGTGGTAGGCAAGCGCTCTACCACTGAGCCACAACCCCAGCCCAGGTCTGGGAATTTAAGGTCATAGTTTAGAATACTACATGTTTTGTTCCATTCCATTAATCACCCACAGTGCTGTTGTGAACGGAAACTAACACAACATTTATAGTTTTGAGAAACACAACATTGTTCTTGATGATTTACAGTATCACTAAAGTCATTGAAGTATAAATGATTTATTAAGTAATAGACTATTGTGACTTTAAGCAGGTATGATTTTGGTTTTATTGCAAGGCACACAATCATATATACAATGCATAATTATCACCTTCTAAAAGTATTATATATAAATAATATACATTATAGTAATGAATATATGAATATACTTTTCTTTCAGAGAAGAAAACCATCTTGGCACAAGTAGTTTATGCTCTTTTTGGATGGGATTTTCCTATTTATGCTGAATCATCCAAACAACTCTTGCTTAGAAAAGAAATCTTTTTGAGCGGACATATAACCTTGCCACAATTTTCCTTACAATGCTCTCATTTAAAACCAGTCAATGTGTTCCTTTTATTCCAGTTATTCATCTGTGTMCCAGTAGTAGATGAAACATCTATAAATGGTCTGATGCAAGTTAATAAAAGTTTATTTATCAGTAATATATCACAAAATGGAACCATTTTTCTTAAGTTGTCCTTGAAAATTTCTTGATTTCTTCCCCAAAAGTATTTTCAAACTGTACTTCTTTTTTAGTGGTAAGCCCTGACCCTAAACTCTTTGCCTAGAGGATGATCCTAGGTTCATAAGCAGACCAGGGGCACTAAGAGTGTTTTCCACTTTCGTCCGAGTTAGAGTTGTAAGTTTCCTCCTCACTGCTGCCTCCTGCGTGTCTGGTTCATCTCTCTGCRTTTTCTCTGACCCCTCACTACATCCTGTCTTCCCAAAGTTGTTATAAGCACAGGAAGAAAGAGTTCACACAGATAGTCAATCTCGAGGCCAGAGACACAGCAGGCAGTGCCCTCCTTGCTGAGGTGGGAGAACAGGAACATCAGGAGATGTCTGAGAGGCAGTGAGGTTTGGACAAACGCTTTGTCTGGAAAGACGATAGGATGGCAGTATGATCGCTCTTCACAGCAGCCCACACACTGACACTCACACATACCTGCAAACAGACATGCTTTGGACAAAGAAACACATTTATAGAAGGGGTACTTTTCCTACCCTATGTAATTCACTTTATCATTCCTTTAAAGCAGTACCCTAAAATKACCATTTGCATCTTCCTTCTCTTCCTTCAGTTTGAGGAAGTCAGTGTTAACAATAATCCAGAAGCTACTTATCTTCCTCCTGGGGCTGCAACTTACACATGAAGAGATGCAGGATTATCAGAGAAAGATTCCAACTTCAGTAATGACAATGCACGCTTGGGGAACATGTAGTGTGCTAATTTAAAGAGAACTTTACCATAATTTCATCCTCAAATTATATTTGTTTTATACTTTCATTCTGGGTGAGAATCCACCAAGAAAATCTACTGGGTTTAGCTGTTTCATAAAAAAGGTCTTCCTGTTTCTTCTTTCAGTAGAGTTTGTTCCTGGAACTCCTCTCTCTATAGACATCCTAAGCAATGTATGGTAGCCAGGATTTTTAAATACTGTGTTCACATCAATCAATATTTAATCATCTACATCCAGTTACAAGGATACAGGAGCACCTAGGAATTTTCAATACAATTTCAGAAATGTTCAAAAGCTCTCTTCATTTTCATTAGGAAAAATATCTTCCACTTTGCCTTATACCATGGGTGCTCAGATCTAGAATGGACACAAACATGATCAAACTACAACTATGAAGCCACAGGTAAAACCTTTAGTGCAAGGGTAGGTTTCCAGAAGGAAGGGGAATATCTGCTAGAGAGAAAGCATAAAGTGAACAAAAGTCTAGATGTAGTAATAACCTACAGTTATATGGGGCAACACATTAAATTCTCCTAGTAAATTCCAAAAGGTGCTGCCCTAATAAGATACAGGTTTCGAGATGGGTGTCATTTCTAAATTATCCCTTTCTTCTCTCCAGGCAAATTACAGAAAAAGCCATTACCTCTGAAACCATAAGTTTCAGGGGGAAAGAGAGAATTTATATGTCATTTGGAAGTTTTAGCAAAATTATCCTAAATACACTGCTTATGGCATTATCCTCAGCAGGCATGCCCTTCACAGAACACCATGCAACTATGTCCAGGAACCCTGAGTGACATAATGTCCCTGTTCAGCACACATTTAGGAACAATTTTACTCCCTGCTGAAAGCCACAAATAATACCTTGAGATGCACATAATCAAAACACCTTACCTTCCATGAATAGAGAGAATCTGGTGATACCTATATATCCACAAAGAGATTCCACAAATACAATAGATCCTGCCAAGGTTACAACCTGGGAGTGAGTTTGGGGAATTTGTTAACACATGTGTTACCAGCATGGCTAAAGGACTAAATGGTGTTCAGGAGTCTGAAAGAAATCCCTCATGACTGACTTCCAGAGACTAGTTTATGTTGCAGCAAAATGTGTCAGTATCAACTCTTAAGAATGCAAGGGATATCATTAGTGTGCTCCCGGGAAATGTCCTGGCTGAAAAGGAAGCCCATTTCTTGTTTCAACATAGACTATTATTTACAGATGAAATCATATACACTTCTGGTGGCATTTAAACCACTTTATGTTTTTTATATCAATGCATGCTTTATCAGAATATTATTTATCTGAATAGCATGCTAAAACAAAATAAAAGTCGGCAACTGTAGTTTTCAAGATATTAGTCTATGTTAACAGAAAGCCACATTTTGCATGTTTAAATAAGTTCTTAAATGTCAARACAATGTTCTGTCATATGTGATTATCAGATGCCTCATTTGTGGGTCCAATTCCTACTTTGGTGGAATTTTTTCCRTAGAGCCACATGAATACGGGTCTACCCAGCAGAAAGTTAGCTAGGCACTGAAAATGGTTCTCATTCTTGTTTTAGATTGTTGCTGTCCATGTTGAACATCTGAATTGGATGCTACTCAGTTCTGAAGCTAATGTTTGGGGTAATTTTTTTCTTTTTATTTATTTTTTCCTAAATAGAGCTTTGAAGCCACATTGCATAGAAAGGCCACAGCAAATGGGGATTGAACTAAATTCAGGAAACCGGAAGAAAAAGTCCTATTTCTTTGTTCATCAAAGGAACTGGGAATCAGCCTTGCTTGCCTGCTGTAGAGAAGAGTTGCATTTGTGCCTTGGACCCTTCATCCTCCATCCCTACAGCCCTGGATATTTCCACTGACTGGGTTTCTCATGCAGCCTGCACCTTCAGACCATGAAATTTCTAAATGTTTATAAAAAACCCATCTTCTCCTCTCAGACTGCAGTCGTAATCTGGGTAAATCCTAGATCGTTGAACTCTTCTCTTCCTGGAGAACCGTAGGAAGACATCTCCACGACTAGTCATACTGGCTTATTCATCCCCTCCACATCCCTCATGTAAGTGGGGTCCTGGACTGTATTCCTGACTCTGCTCGTGCTCTGACGCTCCATCCTCATCTTGATGGGAAAGCAGAAGTCTCTAAAGCACCTCTTGAAGTTTTCATCAAGAAAGGCATAGAGGATGGGGTTCAGGCTGCTGTTGGTGTAACCCAAGGCAATGCAAAAGTAATAGCTGGAGAGGGCGGCTGTGCTGTGGGAAGTGCTACCCAGAGCCTCCACCAGGATGAAAATGTGAATGGGGGTCCAACAGATGATGAAGACGGCCACCACCACCAGGACAAGCCTGGTGATCCGGCGCAGGTTTCGGTCTTTCTCTCGGGAGCCGGAAAGGAGTCGTACACTCTTCAGGCGCAGAATCATCAGGGTGTAGCAGACAATGATTATGAGGACGGGGATCACAAAGGCAAAGACGAAAACGCAGATCTTCATGAAAAGGTCCCACCAGGAGTAGTCATCATCGGGGAACTGCAAGGAGCACTCGATGACATCCACATCTAGAGGAGGCAACCAGAACCGCAAAGAGAAGCCTGTTGTTAGTGTTGCCTGCAACACAATGTTTTAAATGTGCATCTGAATACCGTTGATTTAAAGGTCCAATGACAGTGAGATGATGTTACCTCAAGCAAATGAGGAATAGATGCCATATTAYAGTAACCATTCTATCACTGTGCATAAAACCGAGAAGCTGGAAAACAGCCATTTATTGGTACACGATGCTTAACAGAATAAATAAGGTGAGCTAGCAGTATGACTTATCCAGCTGTGAAAGTCGGTTTGGCATTGCTGGCTTTCAGGAGAGCTATATTGTTAATTTATAGCATTGGCACTTATTCGCATCTCTGTGTATTAGCAGTTCTCCCAGACCTAAGGCTCTGGCAATTAAAGCTAGTGTCTATTTGTAATAAATGACTGAAGATTTCAAATCTAGCCATCGAATTAACAAATACCAACTTATCTGAAAAACATCCACTGCTTTATGTGGATCCACAAAAACTGATAGAGAAATTTGTCTACCTGATGACCCAGGAATTGTGATTTAATGGAACCAAGCATGCTCATTATGATTAAGGGTGTTGTTGAAACATGAATAAATTTGGGGAGGAGAATAAGAAAAACAAAAAGAAGGAGATTAAAAGGAAACAAAGAAATACAAATAGAATCATCATCATTATCAAGGGAACTTTAAATAAATCAGGCACACTTTTACCATTACTATGTAACTCAGATAAAACAAGTGTGTGTGTGTGTGTGTGTGTGTGTGTGTGTGTGTGCTGTGTACACATATGCTTAGAAAATGGCTTGATTTGCTCTGCTTCTCTTTGCTAGATTGAATTCCCTTGGAGTGACCCTAATATTAAAAAAGACCCAGGATCAGTAGTTTTTAAATTACTTTCATGGGGTGGGGCGGTCCATTTACACATCCCCAGACTTCCCATTCCCCAAGGCCAGCCAGCCCCGCCTCCTTCTGCCCCTGAGCAGTCAGGAAGCACACAGCAGGTGGATTTCACTTCGCAGTGTCCTCCCTCACAGATGACGAAGTCATGAGCAGAACTGTCAGTGTCATTTTTGTTTAAAAATATTTTATTTAGACGAAAAAAAATGTTTAAAAAATAGCACGACAAATATATTTTAAGATAATAAAACTGCTACATTATAAATGGGTTCAAAAATAATTCATGGTGATCTTAATCAAATAGGCTTTACCAAAACTAAATGTCTCTTATTAGAATTTCAAGTAGATGTACTGTAAAATACAAAATATAGAATCACTTTGGATACTAATAAAGATGGCTCTTATAAAAATATTTGAACTTTAAGTAGTAAATGAAAGCTCCCAGAGTAAGTGGTCATTTTGGTTCCCTAAAAAAATCATTTCCAAAGTACTATTTCTATGAAGACTATCAGAAACTAACAAGGAATCATTTCAGTTTTTGCTTTAACTTCAATAGGAAATTATTTAAAACATTGTCTTTCTAATTTACCATCACTGTTATAGAAAGAAAAATATCTATTAAACTTTTGGTSGATAGTATTTTTTAAATGTCAATTTAATATAAATATCCTACTATAGATTTTTATTTTTCTCTTGAATCTGGTAATGGTTTCCTTAAAGGTCAGAATATACATTTTTTGGGGGGAGGCATATTTCCTGCTTAACTTTTGCATTCTGCATTATCTCTTTCTCATGTTTGTCCTCAGTTTAAATGTCACCTCAGAGGCAGTTAGGTAGAAGTCTCTCTCAGTCCTTCCCTTACAAATTACCCTATGTATTGTACTCACTCTATTTCCTAGACAAAAGTTTTTTTCAATCCATAATTATGTGTTATGTTTCCTAATATTTTTCTCTCAATGTAGAATGTAAGAACCTTAGGGTAGGAACCTAGCCAATGTTCAACCCTTAGCAAAGGGTGTTGCCTGGAACACATAATGCATAGAGAATACGTTTTAAAATAAATAAACAGTTATATTCCACGTGAATATCAAAACCTTGGAAATACATATTATTTACAGTAGTGAATATGCCAGAGTCACCTGCCTAAGTCAAGCAAAGCAACACAAGGGCTATTGTATGATTCAGAATCATCATTTAACCATCTTGCATGGAGGAGGAATTCAATAACTATTTGATAAACAGGTGAAATAATCAACAATAGCCAATTTTACAGCAGTGTAGGAAATAAGTATCGATGATAGAGTTGGAAATGTCACCCAGAAATATCAATGAACTGGAATTTATACCATCAAGAATAGGTACTCATCAAGAAATTCTAGTCCAAATCTGCCATTTTCATTAAAAAATCAATTTCCAGAAAAACTATGCATTTTCAGGTTGTCTTTACAATTTCCTCAGTTCCAAAAGTAGTCTTTCCCCAGATAATGCATAACTCYACATATGTGGAATCTAGAAAAACTGATCTCCTAGAAGTTGAGAGCAGAAAAGTGGTTACCAGAAGGTGGGAAGAGTGGGGAGTCATGGGCTAGGGAGAGGCTGGTCAAGTACAAAGTTACAAGTAGACAAAGGAACAAGTTCTGGTGTTCTAGTGCACAGTGGGTTGGCTATAGTGAACAATAATGCATCTTCAAAATAGCAAGAGCTATTTTCTTACCACATAGAAATGACGAATGTTTAAGGTAATGGATATGCCAATTTGATCATTCCACAGAGTATATAGGTATTAAAGCATCACATTGTATTTCATAAGTATGTACAGTTATTATGCATGAATCAAAAAAATTAAAGCAGTCTTTTTATTTTATATCAATATCAGAGGGTCTCAGCTTCTACTGACACACGTTCCAACATCTTATGGCTTCCATAATTACAGAGTTAGATTTTATAGCCAAACTGAAGATTTTGTTGTGTGTATCCTTTTTGGTTAAAATAACAATGCTATTTATGCTTGTAGTTTTTATACTTAGCTATCACAATAACAGTAAGAGTCAGATTATGAATTCTCAAAGTATATAATATGTGCACCTACAATATGTAGAATATCAGATGTAGAACACAGTATGTAAAATACAATATGTAGAATATCACTCTATTTTTATAGAGTGAAAATGTTGTTATATAAAAGAGCCCTCATTATTGAATGAATRTCCTGACAAAGGTGGATAAACATAAGCAATAAGCCTAGACCTATGAAAGGCCACTCTATTGGATGACAATGCTGATATTTATCAAGTACTTACTTCACACTGGGGACCACTTTGCCAGCTTTCCATGCATCTACTCAGTAGATCTGAAAAATACCTGAACAGGTAAGCTCTGCTGTTAACCTTATTTTGCAAATGAGAAAACTGAGGCACAAAAATCTAAGTGACAGTTCCACAGGGACAATGCCTGTAAATGGTGAAATCAAGATCCAATTCCAGRCAGATTTTTCCAGAATCTGTACTCTTACCAAAAAAGTAATACTGTAAACTCTGAGGCATTAGCTGAGCCAGTGTTTGTCCAGGTGTATGTATTCCAATGCGATTGATGATTGATTCCCTTTCAGTGAACCTTCTCTACAAACATGAGACTATGAACCACCAATGTCAGTCAGCCCTGATCCAGTGCAGAGAGCGTATCTGGACTGCCTCTTAAGAGTCCTAACATGCATGCACTACAATGCTCCAAAATGAATGCAGAAAATGGGGCAGTCTTTCATCACATCAACAAAACCTATTTTTGAATTTTTTTTAAAAAAAGGAAGAACAGAACCCTCCTATAAGACTACTTTAATTTTCTCCCATTTTTCTTTTTTATGCTACACAAATTAATCTTCTGCTGACATTGGTGTATCTTTTCTTCCATTGCATCTGCACACATTTATCTACAACATCTCCTTCCTGGAAAAACCGCATCTATCTTCATTTCCTCTTTCAAAAGCCTAATTGAAATCCATTTCTTCTAGGATGTCATTTTCTGACAGAGATTAGAAGGAATACAGTGGATAAGTCTACAAGTGTAACATGAAATATAAAAATTGTTTATTTATTTGCCCTGGGAAAATCATCTATCTTCTTTTATTATTTAGGCCATTCTTCTCACTCTCCTAGTTTAACGGCAGCATCTGCCCTTAAATTGGAGTTTTGATATACAAACACCTCAGTGTCAGAAGACTTTCTTGTAATTTATTTCCATTTGCTGTAGGCAAGAAAACATGTGATTAATCATATTTTTAAATGCTTCTCTAATAGAGAAAATTAGGCATTTCTTAAAATTTGCGATGTATTAGAGCTTATCACTCATTGGCTGTGGTTGAGCTAGAAATTCATTTTATAGTTTTAGATGAAAAAAAAACATGTTTTGTTTAAAAACAATGGATACATGTCATTATAATGTATCAAACCCATACAGGATACAACACCAAGAATGAACCTAACTTGAGCTCTGGACTTGGGGGGAATGTTAACGACGGAGGTGGCTGTGCCTGTGTGAGGGACAGGGTGTAAGTGGGAACTCTGTACTTTCCATGCGATTTTCTGTGAACCTAAAACTGCTCTTTAAAAAAAAAAAAACTGTCTAAAACCAAAGACAAGCTGTGCATGTACAAAGCAAGATAAGCGACAATTATTTTAGCACCTATATTTTTACTATTACCTGGAAAGTCTTTGCTGCGCATATTCAATTATCTGTAATCACAGGTATCACAAACCTCCCTAATAAAATGGATCATCCAGAGACTTGCTGGAAACATTAAATAGCATTTATAAAGTTCAAAGTGAGTTGTTCTGCAGCCCTCCCCTCAGCAAATCTCTATTAAAACCAAAGATATTTTCCATAGCTTTGTCTTTTACTAGTAAAGCAAAATTATTCCAAAAACAGTAGTTCTCACCTTGGCTCAGGTCAGAGTCACCTAGGAGATATTAAAAATCTTGACAACCAGGTCACACTAGAGGTCAATTAAACCTTGGAGGCAGGACTTGGGTGGCAGTATATTCTAAAGTCCCTAASGTATTCTAAAATACAGCCCAGAAATACAGGGAAAACATCAGTTATCCTGTCTGCATGGGGCAAGAACTAATATGTCCAAACTGAATGGTTGTGCTCATCTGTATTACTATCCATCTGTGGACTCGRTTTTTGAATGGCCTACAGCCAATGAAGCTGTCACAATGATGTGGAGATTAACACTGAAGGATAAAGGTGAAGAGATCTAGCATATGTCTCTAATGATTCAGTTTCTTGTTAGGGAGAGAATAAAAAGGAAAGAGCAGTGTGTCATGGAGTTGCCAGATTATATTTTCAGAATCCACAAGCCTGTAGATTTTTGCTTCATTCCACCTATCCAGATTCTGATAAGCATTTCCAGAATAGGAGATGGTGGGTATCTGTGTCTTAGTAATGTTGATATCCCATTCTGCATTTAGAGGTGGAAAGGAACACAGAATGATTTTATAAAATCAGACATTATATTTTCATTGTTTTTTTTTACTTTTATATGTGCCACTAGATATGTGCCCTACTTGCTCCCAAATTAAAAATTTGTATGATTAGAAGTTTTTTTTAATAAATGGAATGAAAATGATGACTCTTACCTTCCCTGACTTTGGTACCTCCAAGGACTATTGCAGATATGCCAACAGAAGATGACAGGAGCCAAATACAGATATTGATGATCTTTGCCTTCAAGGGTGTGCGGAAATCCAAAGCCTTCACAGGGTGGCACACAGCTATGTAGCGGTCCACACTCATCATGGTCAGAGTGAATATGCTGGTAAACATGTTGTAGTAGTCAATGGAAATGACTATCTTGCACAGCACATCCCCAAATGGCCAAGAATTCATGAGATAAACAGTGCTCTGGAAGGGCATGGTGGTAGTAACTAAAGCATCCGCCAAAGCCAGGTTAAATATATAGATGTTGGTCGCTGTCTTCATCTTTGTGTATCTAGAAGACAAGAAGCAATAGCATTTTCCTCCATCTTTTAAGTCAAAGTCGTAAGGTGAATGTGTTTGTGACTACTTTGGGTTATTAATTTTGCCTATTTATTTACTTATTCTTTAAATATCATTGTGTAAATCTAGAAGGAGTATTCCAGACAGTCAGAGTAGTTGAAAACTGGGCAGAGATCTCTGAGTTTATTGAGTTTTTTATTTTAGAGGTTTTTCTAAAAAATATTTTAATAATAAAAATTATTTAAAATATTTAATAAAAAAGATAATGAAGGTAGCATGAATAGATAAATAGATGAATACGTAGATCTTTTCAACAGAATTGCACTTAGTAAAGGTCTTTATTTTGTGACTGACAATTAATTCTAATTYGACAGAGGTGTTTGMCTTTTAGCATGTTAGACACTTTATCCTTTTCCCTTCCTTAGGTAAAACAAAGATAAAACATTTCTCCTCGGAGTTATTTTTAAGAAATTAATCATTGTAATTATCCTATCTTTTGAACATGAAAAAATGGTTTTTGATTCTTATAAATGTCCAATTGCAAAGTCTAAAACAAAATTAGATTTGTTGGTTTTTGTTTTTCAGCATGTCACTAGCTTGTCATTTTAAGTGTATTTTATAAATAAATTGGGCTGAGTTCTCTTACACATATCACAGCACTTCTGTAGCAGAGGAGAAATAAATCTATCTCTACTCCAATCTCAACAGATTTTTTTTTACAACACATATTTGTCTCATCTTTAAATGAAGGAGACAGTAATTTTCAACATAGGTTCAAAGATTGCTTTTAAGTCCAAATTATTTATATTATTATAACAAAAGTTTAGAGCAATTCCATTTTCACTTAAAACTGAATTTTGCTTATTTTGCTTGGASAATGCTTCTTCCAAAATCCATACAGCATTAAGAGACCAAGAGGTAAAACCATTGCTTTCTACACACCTCAGATGTCGTAGACCTTCTCACAGTTCATTCATCTGGGCCCCCTTCTCTMTATATAAATTTCCGCATGAGAAACATCTTTTAAAATTCAGTGAGAGAGCAAGCAACCCTGGCTTCCCTTAGTGACAGAATAGTCTAACGTGAAGTCCTAGTTCTGAGTCTGAACTCTCTATGTGACTTGCTGAGTTTCAGTTCCTGATAAATAGGGACAATAAAACCTAACTGGCAGTTCATGAGATAAGGGCAGCTGATGACTTGACTCATAGGATCCCACTTCACCCCCAGAGTCATGCCCACGTTCCCCATCCAATCCCCCTCTCCCTTCTCATCGTGTTAGGAAGTGGATACACTCATAGTTGGATGGAAAAGCATTGGAAAGGCTGGGTTGGTGTCCATTTCAATGTTCTGTTACTAAAAGAGTGATTTAATCTAGAAAATAAGTACTCTATTTAAAAATATGTTTTGTGTATCAAGCAAGTATTTCTACTCAGAGCCAAAAGTTTCTAATGGGGAAGACTGAAATRTGATTTCCTCAGATATTGTCTTCTTAAAAAATGTGATTCTATTAAGAATTGTAATGCGAAAATAAATAAATAATAAATAAATTTTTWAAATGTGATTCTATGTTTGAAAAAAATATAGCTTATACACCGATCTTGTACTCTTTCAACTTTCTCCCACCCCCAACACCAAATTCCTGCTACTGACCAAGATTCCAACAGGCAATACCTTTGGTGCCTACTCTCAGATTTTGTRACCTTTATATTTCCCGCTTTCTTATGAAGTTAGACTACCAGTCCTTGCTTTATAACATTAGGGAAACCTGGGTTCTAGTCTTTTTTTTTATTATTATTATTGGTCTTTCAAAATATTACATAGTTCTTAATACATCATATTACACGGTTTGATTCAAGTGGGTTATGAACTCCCAMTTTTACCCCGTATACAGATTGCTGAATCACATCAGTTACCCTTCCATTGATTGACCTATTGCCTTTCTAGTGTCTGATGTATTCTGCTGTCTGTCCTATTCTCTACTATCCCCCCTCCCCTCCCCTCCCCTCCCCTTTTCTCTCTCTACCCCTTCTACTGTAAATCCTTTCTTCCATTTGTATTATCTTGTCTTACCCCTCCTTTCCTCTTATATGTCATTTTGTATAACCCTGAGGATCGCCTTCCATTTCCATGTGATTCCCCTTCTCACTCCCTTTCCCTCCCACCTCTCATCCCTGTTTAATGTAAATCTTCTTCTCAAGCTCTTCGTCCCTACCCTGTCCTTGTTTACTCCTCTTATATCAAAGGAGTCATTTGGTATTTGTTTTTTAAAGATTGACTAGCTTCACTTAGCATAATCTGCTCTAATGCCATCCATTTCCCTCCAAATTCTATTATTTTGTCATTTTTTAATGCAGAGTAATACTCCATAGTGTATAAATGCCACATTTTTTAATCCATTCATCTATTGAAGGGCATCTAGGCTGATTCCCTAGTCTTTTTTTTTCCTTCCAACAATATGTAGATTTTAGAGAGTCATGTTAGTGTTTAGTGTTTCATCCCTATAACGAATAACTGAAATAATCAATTTGTAAAGGGAAAAGGCTTATTTTGGCTCACAGAGACTGCAGTTCATAACCTCTTGCTTTGGGTCTGCAGCAAGGCAGCACATCATGGCAGGAGGACATGGCAGAGCAAACTGCTCACCTCACCACCAGTACAATGAGTGGGCTGGGAACCAGCAGTCCTTTTCCAGAGCACACCACCAATGACCAGTYCTCCTACTAGGTCCCGCCTCTTACAGGCCCCACTACCCTCCCAGTAGTACCACCCTGAAGATCAAGCCTTTAACAGATGGACTTTTGGAGACATTCAAGATCCAGACTATAGGAGGGGCTCACTGTCCACCTTGAGCCTCAGTTTCTCCAATTATAAAATAGAAAAGTATAATGTTTATCCCATAGAGTTCCAGAAATAATCAATGAAATGCATCTGATCCCAAGAGCATGTCTAATTTAGTTTTTGTTCTCAAACTCATGCATGTGGTTGGAGGCCACCAGTTAGCACAGCAAACAGAGGACTGTAGTTATAGATAATGCTCATGATCAGATTTACCCAATTCAGTGTGAATATAAAAGATAGGAGTAAAAGTGAAGACTGAGACCYGATACACTGGAGAAAAACTGACAGAATCATACATAAAATAAAACATATCTTAAAGTAATCACAAAATGTTTAAAGGTAGTTTGCTTTTAGGTTTTTTTTTAGGTATTTATAAGCAATAGATGTCTAGAACTGCATAAAAATTGACCTTATACAGAATTCAAATCCTGTCATCCAGTCTTAGAATGAGAAATATGAGCATGGACAACAATCATAATAACCACTTATTTCAAAAAGCTCCCTGTGTCAGGCACTGTTCATACAGTCCACAGACTTTATCTCATTTAGTCCTCATAGTAACTCCACATGGTAGATGTTCATATCCCTGTTCTATAGATTAGGCAACTAAGAATCACAGAATTTCCTCAAATATCCTCACGGTTAGCTGGGTATAGTGGCACACACCTGTCATACCAGCAGCTCAGAAGGCTGAAGCAGGAGGATCACAGATTCAAGGCCAGACTCAGTAGCTTAGCAAGGCTGTAAGCAACCTAGTGAGATTCATTTCAAAATAAAAAAGGGTGAGGGTGTGGCTCAGCAGTTAAGCACCCTTGAGTTCATTCGCTGGTACCAAATAAATAAATAAATAGAATTCTCAGCGTTATAAAAGGCATAGCAGAAATTCAAACCCATCAATCTCCAGTACTTTATAATTGAGTGCAGTATCTTGACTTTCATGTGTCTTACTGATTCTCACAACAACTTCCCTTCTAGTTGGCATTTGAGATGTATGACTTTTCCCTCATGGATCCGAAGAGTTCCCCACAGGTAAGTTAGGTGCTTTGTCATGAGAGGTGGGACCTCAGTGGGAGGAACTGGAAGGGGTGTCAGGTGTCAGGGCAAAACCTCCCTTCCAGGGTTCTAAAGACACATGTTTATACACCTACATCACTGGAGGAGGAGAAATCCCAGGTATAACTAAAAGTGATGAATAAACTATGTGTTCCATCAATACTTGCTGATGATCTCTTAGGGACTACCTGGGACTGAATCCTGTGAACATGTGAATCTAAAAGTAGACCTTTACCCTCAGAGACAATCCAGGTGAGCCCTCAGGTAATTGYTTATAGTTAGCCACAAAACATGAGTCGGTTCTAACTCTATGTCATTCACTGTATATCCACTGGTGAAAAAACAAGGTAGCTTTGTGGCTCTGATAGGAGATGACAGTATTTTCTATTTCATCCATGTGGCTTTACAAAATTTCTCAAGCATTTCAAGTAAAATGGCACCATCTGGGTGGGAAGCTTTGGCTTGTGTGGAAAAACTGGAGGTGGGTTGGCAGCAAGTGGCTGCACTTTTTAAGCATACACACCGCAGGAGCATATGGCACTAAAAGAGCAAAGTCTGGGGGCTGTCCTCACTAAACTTGAGAATGTTACCAATCAAAGTACAATGCACAGGATGAGGTGCAAGGGGCAGGTCAGGAAAAGGGGTCCACCTGGGAGTGGGGAAGTGTGAACCTCAGGGGAAGAGTGTTTCAGAGAGGCGAAATGCTCCCCCAGGATATCTTAGTGTGTTCTCTTTATAGAGAATGGGGTAGTGGCTTCTAATGTGACATCCATAGGCCCTTGTGTGATGGTAAGAGGACCAAAGTTATCTGCTGATGTGTCAGGAACAAAGGTCATCAGGCAGAGTTCCTAGGAGATGTGCAGGTCCAGAAGGAGGATCTCTGTCCTTATGACTCAGTCATGAGGGCTTCTTGTCCTTTTCCATTTGCTTGCTATGGTCCAGCAACACACAGGAGGAAGAGATGATTAGTGAATCATTGKCCTCCTTTGCTGTCTATTGCATGAGCTTGGTTTTTGTTTTGTGATTTCAATGATGCTTCTTTAATCAGGAACTCTATTTCACCTTCACAACAATAGCACAATAAGCCTTTAATCTTGATGA